GTAGAGGAAGAGGGCTGCTTTTTACAGATGGCATTTCAGTTCCACAGGGTATTTGATGTGCTTCAAGTTTTCTTTAGTTTGGAAAGGCCTTTGCAGTTACTATTGAAGCAGGAGGTATAGCGTGATAGTGGTGCACAGCGTCCAAGAGCTCAGATGCTCAGAGACCACCACTCCTTCCTTCCCTCCCTCCCTTTCTCCTTCCCTTTCTTCCACTCTCTCCCCCTCTTCCTCCTTCCCCCTTTCTTTACCTTAATTTTTGCTGTTTCCTTCTTGCCACCCCCACTCAGCTGGGGATTGAATTTAGGACCTTATATACATACACTAGGACAAAGCACCACTGAGCTATAGCCCCAGCCTAAATCCACACCTCACATCTTGAGTTTGAATCCTTTCCCAGGTGAGCAGCATGTGATGTGGTACTTGTGGCAGGGAGCAGATACACAACTCCCACTCAGCCATGCAATCATGGGAAGCAGGCAGCTGGTGCTCTTCAGTCTGCTGAGTTGCTGTGATATTCTGTGACGGGTTTGGTGCATTTTCCACTTAGCTTCCGGTGGGTTTATAAGGACATGTCCCAGCCTTAGGTTGAAGAGTATATATATTGTCTTTCTCTCCTTAGTCTTTTCTCTTGAAACTCTTTGCTGCTTGACAAATGGCCGTCTGGATCCTTAGTATATTAATTTTATGTTGCTTTAACAATTTTCCACAAATTTAGCAGCTTAAAATACATAAATTTAGGTGAGAGAGGATCACTGCAAGTTTAGGCCTGTATGGGCTATGAGACAAGATCTCTCAAATAAAAACAACAGCAACAAAAACCCATAAATTTATTATTTTACCATTGGCCAAGTCAGAGGTTGTTTTACTAAATTTTTTCCCTCCCTGCTGGGAGACCCGCCCTCACTCACTCAGGGTCTCTCCGTCTTGACGCTGATGAACAAATTGACATAAGGCATCCTATTTGAATTTTGCATAGTTTATATGACATTTAGGAGGGGGTGACTTACAGAAAACACGTACTCTTATAGGCTTTTCCTTTTCCATATTTGAAATGCATACACCATCTGTCTCCTGCCCCCAGTCTCTGGGCCTCACTCAGTCGCAGGAGTGCCAGTATGGTGTCGGCTCCACCCCTTAATGGGCTTATCAGAGGAACATCCAGGTCACAGAAGTCAACACTGATCTTGAGATTCTTTTTTGTTTTTTTTCCGGTCTTTTTGAGACAGGGTCTCCCTGTAGCTCCAGCTGACCTGGAACTCACTATGTAAATGCAGAGAAATCTACCTGCCTCTGCCTGGGATTAAAGGTGTCTGCACCAAGCCCAGCAGAGATTTTTAAAAAATCTTTTTGAGCCAGGCATGGTAGCCCACACCTTTAATTCCAGCTCTTGCACTGGGGAGGCAAGATTTTTATTTTATTTTTAAAAATTAATTTATTTTTATTTTATAAGTGTTTTACCTACATGTATTTAAGTGTACCTATGTTGTGCAGTGTCCATGGAGGCCAGAAGAGGACATCAGATCCCTAGAACTGGGATTAAGGATGCTCATGAGCTGCCATGTGGGTGCTAAGAACCAAACTTGAATCCTCTTGCAAGAGCAGCTAGTGATCATTACTGCTGAACCATCTCTCCAGCCCACAATTTTTATTTTTAATTTTGTGTCTGTGTGGGTATATGTGTACACGAATTCAGGTGTCCCAGGAACTGGAGTTATAGGCAGCTGTGAGCTGTGTGATGCGGTTGTTGAGATTTGAACTTAGATCCTCAGAAAATCTTTTTCTTAAAAAAAAAAAAAATCTGTTAAAGCTGGGTGCGTTGGTGCATGCCTTTAGTCCCAGCACTTGGGGACAGAGGCAGGCAGACGTCTGTGAGTTCAAGGTGGTTCTTATCTACATAGTAAGTTCCAGGACAGCTGGGGTTGACCCTGTCTCAAAAAGACCAAAAAGGGGGAAAAAAAAAAATCTATGTCTATGTTAGCCAGGTGTGGTGGTGCATGCCTTTAATCCCAACACTCTAGAGGCAGAGGCAGGCAGATCTCTGTGAGTTCAAGGCCAGCCTGGTCTTCACAGCAAGTTTCAGGCTAGCTGAAGCTACAGGGAGACCCTGTCTCAAAAAAGACAAATAAATAAAAAAATACATATTTTTTTAAAAAAATCTGCTGTGTGCCGGGCATGGTGGCACACGCCTTTAATCCCAGCACTTGGGAGGCAGAGGCATGTGGATCTTTGTGAGTTCAAGGCCAGCCTGGTCTACATAGTGAGTTCCAGGAGAGCTGGGGCTACAGGGAGACCCTGTCTCAAAACGGAAAAAAAAAAAATCTGCTATGCAACAAAAGAAAAAGGAGGAGGAACCCAATAGAGCGATGTTTTTGGAAGCTCTCGTCAAGAAATCCCAATGGACTCTGATACGAACATTTGAAATTTGCCCTGCTGACTTTTTTTCTGGTTCCCTGTCTAGAACTTGTAATACCAATTATTCTTGCCTTTACTTCTCCTTCACATCTCCTATTCACCAGTCAAGGACTTTCTTTTCCTCCTACAGATAAGAGTTATGCAATTTGGGAGTCTTTTAGATAGACCCACTGAAGGGGTACCCCAGTTGCCTCACCTTGAGTCCCTGTTCAGCATGGAAGAAGCCAGAGAAGTCTGCATCCTTATTACCTATCAGCAATTTGGGTAACCTCTTGAGAGAATTGTGTGACAAGAATAGGAGGCAGGAATTGGCTAGGCAGTTAGGGTAAAAAGACCCCAAAGAAAAGTAGCCAGTTTCTTGGCTAAAAGTCCAAATGTTCTTGGGCCTCTTAGCAACATTCTCTCTTTCAAAGGCCAAAAAATGTCAAAAGTATTTGGGAGCTCTTATCTAATCCCTGAAAGATTTTAGTGTTACTTCTGCAGGAGGGTGGGGATGTTAGAGTAGCAAAAAGCCCCATTAAAAAAAAAAAAGGAAGAGTACAGGAAGTAGTTCAGGAATAAGTGATGGGGAGATATAGGAGGAGTTGGAGGGGAGGGAGTGGGCATGGATTTGATCAAAACACCTTATATGTTCATATCCCTGTATGAAATTCTCAGTAAATTTTTTTTTGGGGGGGGTCTTTTTGAAGCAGGGTCTCCCTGTAGCCCCAGCTGTCCTGGAACTCGCTATGTAGACCAGGCTAGCCTTGAACTCGCAGAGATCCTCCTGCCTCTGCCTCCCACGTGCTGGGACAACAGGCAAGTGCCACCACGCCCGGCTTGAAATTCTCAGTGAATTTTAAAGTTAAAAAAAATAAATAGTGGCCGGGCGTGGTGGCACACACCTTTAGTCCCAGCACTTAGGAGGCAAAGGCAGGCTGGTCTTTGTGAGTTCAAGGCCAGCCTGGTCTACATAGTGAGTTCAGGTCAGCTGGGACTCCAGGGAGACCCTGTCTCAAAAAGACCAAAACAAAAATTTAAATAAAATAAATAGTACAAAGTGATCCTTTACACATTAAAAAAAAAAAAAAAAATCTGCTATGCTTAGTTTACTATTAATCCCAGCGTTCAAAAGGCAGAGGTGCCGGGCGTGGTGGTGCATGCCTTTAATCCTAGCACTCGGGAGGCAGAGGCAGGCAGATCTCTGTGAGTTCAAGGTCAGCCTAGTCTACATAGTGAGTTCCAGGACAGCTGGGGCTACAGGGAGACCCTGTCTCAAAAAGACCCCCCCCCCAAAAAAAAGAAAAAAAAAGGCAGAGGCAGGTGGATGGATCTCTGAGATTGAGGCCAGCCTGATCTACATAGTGAGTTCTTGGCATCTGGGGCTGTAAGGAGGCTCTGCCTCAAAAAGACCATCACCACCACCAAAAATCTATGTGTATGTGAGAACCAAGTGCATGCAGGTGCCTGTGGAGGCTACTGTGTATGTGCACATATATCTGCATGTGGGTGTGTGCACATGGGTGCAGGTGCTCACAGAGGCCAGAGGTATCATATCCTCCCTGGAGCTGGAGTCACAGGCTGTTGTGAGCTGCAGTGTGGGTCCTGGGACCTGAACTCAGGTTCTTTGGAAGAACATCAATTGCTCTTTACCTGGAATCATCTCTCTAGCCCCATTATTCCTTTGTGGAGCTGAGATCCATGTTTCAGTTGAGGTTAAGCTAACTTTGGGCTGGTGAGGTGGCTCTGTGGGTAAAACTACTTGTGCAGGTCTATTGACCTGAGTTTGATCCCTGGAACCCATGGTTGAAGGAGAGAATCAATTCCTAAAAGTTGTCCTCAGACCTACACACTACTACTACTACTACTATAGCTAAAGGTCACTTGTATATCTTGACTTATGGTCTCTTTTCCCCTTCACAACCAGCAGGGGCAGGGTGAGACCCTCTCGTGCTTTGAACCTTCTCTCAGATCTTGTATGATCCCCTTTCTTGATCTCTCATCTATGTTTACAGACTTGAAGTTAGATTAGACCAACCTGAAAAATCCAGGGTAAACCCCAGAATCCTTAACCTGTTTTTTTTTTGTTGTTGTTGTTGTTAAATGTTTGGTTATTTTAATTTTATGTGCATGAGTGTTTTGCCTGCATGTATGTAAGTGCACCATGTCTATGCAGTGCCCACAGGGGCCAGAAGACAGTGTTGGATCCCCTGGAACTGGAGTTAGGGATGGGTGTTAGCCACCATGTGGGTGATGGGAATTGAACCTGGGTCCTCTGGAAGTACAGCAAGTGTTCTTAACCATTGTGCCATCTCTCCAGTCCTAGAATCCTTAACCTTAATCCCATCTCCCTTTGCCATGTAGAATATATACGCACAAGTTCCAGCAACTAGGGCACCGGTATCATTTGGGTACCAGTATTCTCGCTTCACTGTCCTTAATATGTTCAGCAACATCTGAGCAACTGTGGTCCTGATATCCATTTCACCTCATTGCCTCAATTCCCTTGTGTACTTGGCGTGATAAATTATTCCTCTTCAGCACAGTGGGGGTGTGGGTATGAGTGTTTGGAGTGACATTAATCCTGAACATTAATCTCCTTTTACCAGATATGTCTTGTCGGTCAAGACTTGCAACGCTAAATGAGAAATTGACAGCCCTGGAACGGAGAATAGAGTACATTGAAGCACGGGTGAGTGTGGTCACAGGCTGTCAGACAGAATACAGAAGTCAAGTGCTTTGCCTAGGTTTAGGTTGCTGGGACTCTAAAACTGTCGTTTCTACCATTTCTCACTGCATGGGATCTAAAATAAGATTTTTTTTTTTTTTGGTCTTTTTGAAACAGGGTCTCCCTGTAGCCCCAGCTGTCCTGGAACTCACTATGTAGATGAGGCTGGCCTTGAACTCACAGAGATCTGCCTGCCTCTGCCTCCCGAGTGCTGGGATTAAAGGCGTGCACCACCACACCCGGCTAAAATAAGATATTTTTTAAAAATGTCTTTAGTCCATTTGAATTTTATCTGAATGTCCATTTTCCTTTCGCAGGTGACAAAAGGTGAAACACTCACCTAGAACTGTGCCACACTGCTGCTGGGAAGTTGCTGTACAGAACACAGGCCACGTGGGAAAGGCCCAGCAGCCTTCTGCTCCTCCTCCTCTCCTTAAAGAGCAACAGGGCTTTTTCTTGTTTTTCTTTTTTCAAAAGTGGCCTTTGGGCTCTGCCATGTTCATCTGGGATGTGATGTGGCGTAGGGGAGAAGTCCAGGGACCTCTGAAACAGCATTAGGCATTTTCCCTTTTCAGTAACATTTTATGGAACTACTTGTCAATGTTTTGGAGGTGCACAGAGCCAAAAGGCTGGGACTCTGTTAAGGTCCCATCCACCTCTCATGCTCTCTCTCTCTCTCTCTCTCTCTCTCTCTCTCTCTCTCTCTCTGACATTCTCTCCAGTTCCCATTGCCTCTGCACTGATTCTGTCCACAGTCTGTCGTCTCCCCACCCATGGTGGGAAGTTGGGGGCTGTCTTGGCTGAGACACTCATGCCCTGGCAGTGTGGCTGCCAGAAAATGTTGCTAACCCACCAGTTCCTTGTTTTGGGGAGGTCAAAACCAGGTCCCCAGTTGGCTTAAAGGGACATTTTCAGTTTTCTTTCTGTCACTTGGGGTACTTATGCCTCACATATTTCCCTAATAAACTCCTCAACTTTATCTGACTGCTGTGATTGTGGTGGGAAAAGGAGCTAGAGATGGACTTAATATTTCATGGATGTGATCTGTAGAAATATTCTTTAACAGAAACCCTCAGATATAGCTGTTTGGTTGAAAGCCTAGGCAGTTCACCAGCCAAAGTGCTTATGTTTGGACACCTTGACTACTTCATCTTGGAATCATTTGGTCAGTCACCAGACTTACTTTATAGGTATTGAACTGGGCGTGGTAGTGCACGCCTTTAATCCCAGCACTTGGGAAGCAGAGGTAGGTGGATCTCTGTGAGTTCAAGGACAGCCTGGTCTACATAGTGAGTTCCAGGACAGCTGGGGCTACAGAGAGACCCTGTCTCAAAAAGACCAAAAAAAAAAACAGGTATTGAATCAAACCTGATGTTTATGATCTGTTGAAATAACAACACCCACCCAGTTGAATTGCATCCAGAGAAGACTCTTAGTTTTATAAGATGCAAGCTAAATATACTTCCTTTGAAAAGCAAGTGGTGGGGTTGGAAACATGACTCAGCAATTAGGAGAACTGACTGCTCTTGCATAGACCCCAGTTCAGTTCCCAATGCCCACGTGGTAGCTCACAGCCGTCTAACTCCAGTTCCAGGGGATTTGACACCCTCTTCTGGCCTCCATGGGCATTGTGCACATGGGTACACTTACATGCACACAAAAACTTCATGTACATAAAGTATAAATAAATAAAAGCAAAGCAAATACTGAGGCAGGTGAGATGGCTCAACAGGCATGGCACTTGTTGCCAAACCTGGCAGCCTGAGTTCAACCCCTGGAATCGACATAGTGGAAGGAGAGAATCTACTCATGGAAATTGTCTGATTGCTGTGGCACACATAAATAATTTTTTTAAAAAGCAAATACTGGCCGGGCGTGGTGGCACACACCTTTAATCCCAGCACTCCGGAGGCAGAGGCAGGCAGATCTCTGTGAGTTCAATGCCAGCTTGGTCTACATAGTGAGTTCCAGGACAGCTGGGGCTACAGGGAGACCCTGTCTCAAAAAAGACAAAATATATATATATATATGTATATGTATATATATATATATATTGCAGTTCAAATAGAATAATCAAAGACTTCCCATGTTTCCAAAGCGTCCCATAAATTTGTGCCTACTGCTTAAAGGCTTTTCCCTACAGAGAGCTCCACTTTAGTTTCATAGAATTATGTTCTGCCTACATGTATTTCCTCCTATTCAAATCATATATGCCATTTAAAGTCTAGCCTGGGTCAAAATTCCCCAGAAAGTTTTCAGTCTTGTGCACCCCCATCTGGTACTGCCCTTTTCCTCTTCTCAGTTCCTCCTATCTTGTGCTGACATCACAGTTCAGCTCTGGATTTAGATGTTCTCTGATTGGGTATATGCAACCTAGAAGGAATCTCAGCCCCTGCTCTGGCTGTCCAGCCAAGCACTTTGAGGAAGGCATGTGGCCATAGTACCCACTAAACCCATTAGGAAACTGCTCGCCTGTGTTTTTATAAACCCTGCTTAGACCTTAGACATTTAAGTACTACCAGCTGAGTATCCCTTAATCCAAAATTTTCCAAAATCTAAAGCTTTCTGGACAAGAACAGGACAAGTGAACAGTTCCTCACCTGACTTTCTGTGGTTGGTATGTGAACTGTTCAGGTGAAAGCCTGAGCCCTGTCAGCACTGACAAACTAGACTCTACCCGGTTCTCAGTAGACCAGTTAAACAAGTAATAGTGAAAAGCAGGAAAAGATTTATTCAGTGTGGCCACACTGGGAGGAGAACAACGAGGTTCATTAGTGCCCCCCAGTCCCATCTTTGGGGTTCTGTTGTGAGGTTCCAGTTTAAATAGAAAGCAGGGGGTATATGAGTCAAAGTATGGTCCCTGCCCCTCATTTCCTTGATGCTATAGTCTCTCCTGCAGGATGGTCTGACAAGTCAGAATGTTGTGAAGATTTCTAGGAAGTAGGCTCTCCTTCTGCTTGTACCTGGGCCATCCTTTTCCTTCTCTGAGCATGAGACTCCTGGAAGAAATTCCAGTTTCTTGGCATCCATGTCTCCATAGTCTGAGCCAAAGGAAGGGGCACATGGTGGGGCATAGGTTAAAGCAGGCAACCCAAAAATACTATATTGGCCAGACATAGTGGTGCATACCTTTAATCCCAGCACTTGGGGAGACAGAGGTAGCTGGATCTTAGAGATAGAGGCCAGCCTGATCTACATACTGAATTCCAGGCCAACTGGGGCTACATAGTGAGATCTTGTCTCAATCCTCCCAATGCCCCCCCCATACAAAAAACATTGCATACAGGGGCTGAGCAGATGGCTCAATTGGTAAAGTGCTTTCTATGCAAACATGAAGACCCGAGTTTCATCCCCAGCACCCACATAAAAGCCAGGCAGAGACAGGAGGATCCCTGGAGCTTGCTTGCCTGCCAGTCTAGCTGAATCACAACTCAAAGTTTAGTGAGAGTATCATAGAAAATAAGATGGAGCAAAATAGAGGAAGATAATTGAGGTCAACCTCTGACCTGCACATGTGTACATACAAAAAGACAAATACTGTATAAAATTAACTTCAAGTTGAGTGTATAAGGTACATGAAACAAATGAATTCCATTTTTGTCCTGGATCCCATCCCACCCCAGACATTTTGCCTAAGGGATACTGTACTGGTATTTTCCTTTAAAAACAATCTAGCTGGGTGTGGTGGTGCATGCTTTTAATTCCAGAACTCAGGAGGCAAAGGGAGGTGGATCTCTACAAGTTCACAGTCACCTTGGTCTATATAGTTCCAGGCCAGCCAGGGCTACATATGACACCCTATCTCAAAACAAAACAAAGCCAAGTGTGGTGGTGCCAGCCTTTTAACCCCAGCACTTGGGAGGCAGAGGAAGGCAGATCTCTGAGTTCAAGGCCAGCCTGGTCTACATAGCAAGTTTCAGGCTAGCCTGGGACTACAGGGAGACCCTGTCTCTAAAAACCAAAAATAAATATCAAAAAAACAAACATAATATTATGTAATAATAGGTAAAGTAAAACAATCTTGTAAGGGAGACATCTGACATCCTTATCATAGTAAGTACTTTTCAGCATTGAGCTCATCAGTAGAGTGCTTTTAGCAGGCCCTAGAGTTCATTATTTGTAATATTTCCCCATGATAAAGAAGCACTTCTAGTGCATGCCTTTAATCCTAGCACTTGGGAGGCAGAGGCAGGCAGATCTCTGAGTTCAAGGCCAGCCTCGTCTACATAGTAAGTTCCAGGCCAGCTGGGGCTACAGGGAGACCCTTATCTCAAAAAAAAAAGAAGGAAAAAAAGCACTCCTAAAGTTGTGTTAGTTACCTGGTGCTCTGTAGCTTAATAGACATTGGTTCCTACAGTGTGTAAGGACTATAACACTAGATAGTAACAAGGCAAAAGTGATGGACAAGAAAAGTGCTTTTTGTGAGATTACATATGAATGTTTTTTTTTTTTTTGGTCTTACTGATACTAATGTGCTTATTTGTTGATATTAATGAATGTTGTGTTAAGCCAAGCATGGTGGTGCACGCCTTTAATCCCACCACTTGGAAGACAGAGGCAGGTGGATCTCTGTGAGTTCCAGGCCAGCCTGGCCTACATAGTGAGTTCCAGGCCAGCTGGGGCTACAGGGAGACCCTGTCTCAGAGATTTAAAAAAAAAAAAAATTAGGGGCTGGAGAGATGGCTCAGCTGTTAAGAACACTGGTTGTTCTTGCAGAAGACCCAGGTTTGAATCCCAGCACCCACATAGCAGCTAGCAACTGTCTGTAACTCCAGTCCCAGGGAATCCAACAGCCTCTTCTGACCTCCGTGGGCATTGCATGACACAGGTGCACTTACCTACAAGCAGGCAATATACGCATACATATTAAAAAAATAATAAATTTTAAAAGTTAAAAAAAATTAATGAATGTTGTTAAAAGACTTAGTATCTCAAATAATGTAGTTAACTGTATCGTAACTTCTTGGTCAGGAAGAGCAGCTGATAACATTGAATGTAGGAAACTTATGAACCTGGCCTCTGTTAGGTGTAGTAACTCCCTCATCTTACATGGTACTTTGAGGTAGCCAAGTGCCTCTCTAGGTTGCTATCTCCTTTTCACATGTTTGGACTGAGTTGTGTTTGTTATTATTATTAAGATAGGGTCTCACTGTGTAGCCCTGGCTGGTCTGGAACTTGCTATGTAGACCAGGCTAGGTTCAGTCTCACAGAGATCCACCTGCCTTTGCTTCCTAGGTGCTGGGATTAAAGATGTGCACCACCACACCTGAGTTTTTAAAATTTTTGCCTTTTTTTTTGGGGGGGGGGTTGACTTCTTAAGTGAGACAATATAGTGGAGTTACCCACGTTGTGTCTTACCTGGCTCTCTACCTTTCCTCAGGACACTGTACTGGTTTCTGAAGAAAATACTGACTTTACTTGTTTTCTAATGTGAGAAATGAGCAAATTTTAAAAAAAATTTTAATTTTAAGCCGGGTGTGGTGGCACATGCCTTTAATCCCAGCACTTGGGAGGCAGAGGCAGGTGGGTCTTTGTTAGTTCGAGGCCAGACTCGTCTACATTGTGAGTTCCAGGACAGCTGGGGCTACAGGAAGATCCTGTCTCAAAAAGACCAAAAAAAAAAAAAAAATTCTTTTTTTTAAATTTTTATTTTGTATTGTGAGTGCAGTGCCCTGGAGAGGCCAGAAGAGGGCATCAGATCCACTGGAGCTGGAGTTACAGATGATTGTGAGCCATCCATTGCCAGTGCTAGAAACCAAATTTGGGTCCTCTGATAGAGCAGCAAGCACTCTTTTGCTGAGCCATCTCTCCAGCCCTACCTTATTTTTGAGATTGGGTCTCAATGAATCTGGAGCTCACCAGTAACCTAGATTGCCTGTCCACAAAGCCCAGGAATTGCCTGCCTTTCTCTGCCAGTGCTGGGATTACAGACAGACTCTGCCATACTCAATTTTTTTTTTAATGGGTGCTGGGGATCCA